ACTGTCCCATCTAGGTGTGTGAGCCACCATCAAGCTTATCGCACAACGCTTCTGCTGACCGGGAATGAACACAGACGTTAAGAAGTGGGTTCAGCCGTGCTTGGCTTGTCAGAGGTGCAAAGTCCCATGACATATGAAAAGCCCTTTAGGTTCTTTTCTAGTCCCAGACATGCGTTTTGACCAAGCCTATATAGATATTGTAGGATCTCCACCAGAACCTAATGATGTGCCTACCTTCTCACCTGCGTGGACCGTTTTACGCGGTGACCAGAAGCAGTACCTATCAGGGATATTACTGCTGAAACTGTGGCTTGTGTTTTCGCAGAGATAGATTGCGTACTTCGGATGTCCACCCTACGTAACAACCGACCTTCGGCGCTAATTCGAGTGTGGATTATTTCACGCTTCAACTACACTCCCAGGTTGCACTCGATTACGAAAGACAGCCTACCAGCCACAAGCAAATGGTATGGCAGAACGCTTCCATCGACAGCTGAAAGAGAAGCTTTCAGCCGCAAACATGTCTCAGTGTACCGAGGGTCTGCCGCCAGTCCTACTGGGTATTCGTAACGCGCTGAAAGCTGATGCTGGATGCACCTCTGCAGAACTCGTTTACGGGATAACTCTTCGCCTACCAGGTGAGTTTGTTCCCTCTTCAACTTTCAAACATGTTATCGACGAGACACCTTACGTGACCAGGCCCATAAACGCAATGCGTTCAGTTAAGCCTGCTCCTGCTAGACCTCAAACGACTGATGTCTTCATTCGCCCTCCTTTACAAAGGCGTAGCAACTGTTCATTCGCCACGATGCCTTCCGTCGGCCACCTGACCATCTTACGATGGACCATTCAGGGTGCTCAACCGGCGTGAGAGATTCCATATAATGGAACGAAATGGAAGTGGAGATACTGTTAGTATTGACCGTTTGAAACCAGCTTATTCCGAAAGCTACCCTATCATATGTGACGTTTCAGCTCAATATAGCGAACAGGCGGTTGGCCCAGTTATCGAAATTCTTGACGATGTACCTGGTAGTACACAGGTAAAACAACCACCAGCGCAATAAAAAGCACGGTTAGGTGGAACCGTCAGGTTCTGGAGAATTCAAAGTCATATTCAACTAAGCAGTGTGAAATAAAATGTGCCAACCGTTTTTAAATTCAAAATTATTTTTTTCGAGGCACAATTTTTTTACTTACTGGGAATGCGAAAATCCTCGTGCGTTTCCCCTTTCTATATCAACTTATTTACCCCCACGTAATGAAACTTTTAAAAAAGGAAATAAGCATAAAACCTATTTTCGATATATTTATGTGTAAATGTTTCCCGTTTTTACGAAGTGTTTTCGTGACATTAAAGACTTTTATTTATATTCTAGGCTCAACTAGAGCTGAACGGAATGTCAAGGGACTCTGAGGATCTCGACCGACGTACAACCCGATTCACTGTATTTTTTTTCTGTTCACCACGAAAACCTAGAATAAGTTCAGTTCACTTCTCACAGTGAGCAGATCCGAAGAGTTTTACCTGTAGGGAAAACACTGGGCTTTTAATTCCGGCGGGCATTGTCTTGGAGTCCTAGCGGGCCCACTTGAGGTGTGATCTGCAGCGCCACACACTTCTCCAGAATCTATAGCCTACGTTTCGACGACACTCAACAGCTATGACGACCTTGATAGTTTTACCGGACTCGTTAAACCGAAGGCACTCGGTCAAGCATCCTCGTTATTTGGCACGCTGTCATGTTACATTGTACTGCTCGTAATCGACCCACTATCCAGTTAGTTGAAACGCATCGGTATCTTGACCCAACCTCACAAATGTACTGTTCCATCCGACTACGCCATTGTGTTCATTCTTGGCCTCGTACTTGTGGGTATATGACAAGTTCGAATAATTAGTGATTGGCCTCTGCGTCAGTCAAGTTCGCACCAGGACAATCCCTAATAGGTACCGTTACTCTCTATCTCGTCTTTGAGTTGTTTATGACATATATACGGCTTCAATTAGAGGTCCACAACGTTAATGGACCATTATACCTGAAGAAAATGCCTGATTTCTGCAAATAGCCTGCGGGAAAGCCACGAACATTGTTGTGGAGATGTGGAAGAGCTGTGTGATGCAGACTTAAAGACTTGGGGCTCTGTTTTTTAGCCACCGTTGTTTAGGTGACTACTTGATAATTGCGTGCAAAATACAAAGTGGTTTAGGCCATCTGAACGGTGGAACTCTTCTGAACTACCGTTAAGGCAATTCTCGATCTAACCCAAGGATTATAATACGTCATGGGGGAAAAGCAGTTCGCGTTTACACTTGTCCCTGCGATTTTTAGGTCACGAGAACCCACTGTCTTCCAGGGTTACCACCGCGGTATCTGTCGACCGCCTCAAGAAGACGCTTAGCAGTCACTCAGAGACGTACCACTTATGCCAACCCTGCTTGGATAATTACTGAGGTTACGAAATCAACTAATTCGGAGCAATCCAGCATCACGAACCCTTTGCCGGATCTCCTTTACAACCACTATCAACGGGCACTTGATACAACCTCATGCTTCCCTGCTGGGAGTTTCTGGTTACCATACTCCCACTAATAACATTAACATTTCTATTGCCATAATCCACCCTGCAGTCTTACCTATTCCTTTCAAACTTCGTGATCTCACCCTATTTTTTAGGTTCTCCGCATCACTACCGCCTCTTAATGCACATGGGTTTCTCCTTCCCTTCCATTACGCTTCCTTTTACTTTGTTTCCCCACACTTCCTCTCGGCTGATTTCATCAGGCATCTTTCCTTCCTTTCCACATCTTTTCTACGGGAAGTCTGAACAACTGCCTAGTGGCTATATGCCTCAGGAATCCATCTGGACCACAGTCCCTGGAAAGAAACATACAATCTCTATAAATTTAATGAACAAGACTATCTGGTGGGCTAACCGGAGCTACAACAGGCAGGTGGGCATACCTATTGCACTGGATTTCACTAAGGACCTGGAACCATTCCGAAAGACCCAGAAGCGGGGGCGAAGAAATCAACTACTCTACAGCACCCAGTAAAAAAGGTGCTAGATTAGATTGGAGGTCATGAAGGCACATTTTTAAACGGGCTAGGACTGAGAGAACGGATTTCTCTTTTGGTAGTCGCAAATCGACTACTTGCAGAAGGTATTATCTTGAATACCATCGAAGGGAGAGTATCGAAATTAACCGTGTGACCATTGTCAAAATACTTTTCGATGGCTTGGCGAAACAAAGACAGATTTGTGAAAGAACGACATGATGGCAGTGGCGCGAACCCTACAAAAAATCAATCTTTCTTGGCCACAGTCTGTGGAAAATTAGGGCGCTTAGTGACATCCAAGTTCCATTCCAACTTAGTCAGTCACTCTGGCTAGAATATGAAGCTATAGGCTAGGTTACCGCACAGCATAGCGAGATGAACAAAGTCGTAAACCTAACTACAGTGCCGAGCGATGGAGCTTCTGGTGGCATCGAGGTAATAAAGATTCTCAGCAATGCATATCACGGGCAGCCTGAAGCAGTAATTCGTTCGCTATAAACGTTCAGTAACGTGATATACAGAACTGTGATGCATAGCTGGGTGACACGCAGATTTCTTCAAACCAAGTCTCTGAAAGGCTATCCACGTTCAGGCCAGGGAAGCCTCCTGAGAAGGTAGGGGAAAAAGCGACAGTCGGTCTTTGGACAAACAGGCAGGAGGCCCACACAATGTCTACGGCAGCTTGCCCCTTTTCCCCTGAGCCATGGATGGGTAGGAAGCGAACTGGCAACACTTTGCAAGATTGTACGACAAGTACACCATAGAAACACAAATGTGTTATAAATCCACGACCGACATTCTGGTGAAAAGTCTGCTCATACACCATAGCATGAAGACAAAGTGAGACTTGATCTGACTTTTCTCATAGAATGTACGCGTTATGGAACGCGTCGCTCATACAGCAGCCACACCCTCTTCAGTTGACTCCTGATGAGGAGTGTTGAACAAGCCCATCAGTATATACGGCTTAGAGAAACTAACTGGTAGCATCTGAACATTTACCTATAAATCTCTTTACTTTTCTGTGGTAGCATCTTCACCACTGATTGTACTTGCGTAATATCATTAGCGGTATCATCAGCACTCCGCTTGTGCTTCATCTCTTCTATCATTATCTACTCTCCATATACCCCAAGCTGAATCTACCACACTTTCTCCGGATTGACGTCTTAATATCTACTTGGTCATGCACATGGAGATTAAGGTCAAAGCGGTATCCTCATTATTATCATTATTATTATAAACAGCCTTGACGATCCAAAACAAATAAGCTCCCCCTTTGCAAAAGTCTTTCAAGTGAACAACCAGTTCCTCCGAACCTATAGCAGGTAACTGAAACGGCTCCTGGAAATAATTAAGGAGAGGAGACAAGGAAAAAGAAATAAACGTCAAAGTTCAAGTGCAAATGTTCGAAAATTGTCAGTTTCATCTGCTTGCAAAGTTGGTGTTAGGTGTTGCAAGATGTAGGATTCATCCTGCTACTACCACCACACTTCTTGGTTTTCCATCTACTATTCCGTTATCATCTATAAAATATATCGTTACATATCGTCTCCAGTCCTGATTCCAAGTTTGCATTTTTCAGCACTTAAAGTCTCAGGTACTTATGCAGACACATCGTAGAAAGTAAACTGGTCTCGCCTGGGACTCTGTAGTTCCCTTAAATACTCAGCTAGCAAACCCAAAGAAAAGACTCCCAGTCACAGTCAGCCAAAATTCAACTGAACAAAGAGAACTGAGCTGAAAGACCCAGGTGTTAGCGTTCAAAAACAAGGAATATCCTGAAAGATTGGTGTTGGAAGAACTAGTGACTCCACCAGTGTGAGTTTATATCAGAAACACGGTAACAAGAATTGTAAACAGTTTAAGAATTTGTTCAGGTAGATGGATTTAGTTATCTCTTCATTGAAGTGAAGTTTGTTTAGTTGCATCGCATTGCCTACGCGTAAATCATGTACTCAAGGTCGTCCCCCCCGGGAAACGTAGTTTGTTTACTATGTCGTATGCAGACAATTTAAGGAATATTGCTAAGAAACATGGTCAAGAGCATTTATTCACCTTCTGGAATGAGCTCAGCATCGAGGAGCAATCCGAACTTCTCGGAGATGTTTCCAAGTTGGATTTCAATACCTTCAGTCGTATACTAAGTGTGAGTCTTAGTTACTTATTTTTTTTATTGATTATTAATTCATCTTTCTCTGTGTAGCCGTTTTGATGTTCCTGCAAAATCAGTTGTGGTTAATAACCACATGTATCACAAGCCATCTTCCATCAGTTGCACATACATCCATTCTTTTTGTACTTCCCAGCCAGCTCTTACTTTCGGCACACTTTGTTAGTCTTGCGCAAAAGCCCTAAGATTGTACTTCGTGCTGAAATGGAGAGAGGCATAATATTTAGTGAAATTTCCAAACGTTTTTATGAAAGTATCAAAAGGTCTAAAGTGTGCTTAAAGACTCGAAGTTTACTAAGTGCATCCGAAGCAAATGCTGGGTGGGCTGACATGAATCAGGAATTCTAGGATTCTTTGCAATAAACCAAGGTATTATAACACTCAAATAGACATAAGTGAATCTGTAATGGTTTTCATAACTTCTCAAGGCAACCAAGCCGCTTGAACTAGACGCGATAGTTAGAAACCCATTAGTATACTATAGTCTTGTGTCATGCAAAGATTTGAGGGGTTTTTTGAAATGCCATCCTGCTTAAATGCATTGAAAGTCGTCATGCGCTTTCATTTGAACCCACCCCACTAATATGAATACCAGGAGGCAGTAACCTTTCTATATAGACTATTTGACATGCAGTGTACATTTTGTCATCTAGTTTCTGGAAATATTCAATTACGTCACCATGCCAGACAATTGCGTAGATATATTAATTTATCTAACATGCTCAACATCCTCCCAGTCTCTAACTTACATTTTCGTCAGAAAGTGCTTGAGTTTTTCTCGTTAATATGTAGCTACATTCCCTCATTTTTTGCATTGGAAATGCTATCTTGATGCATGCTAGTCTCACTGCATTGTTTACACACACGGGTTTATCTGCCGTTTGTACTTTAGTGTCTTTCTTTGTAGGAGGAATTCCAGTAATCTGTGTATTTGTCGCACGCCGCGATGAAACTAGTATTGTAATCCTTAGATGTGATTGAGTTTCATCAGTTTTATACAGTACATTATAACAGTTATTTAAAATATGCTTTCGATCTTCTGCAGAGACTGCTTGTGTGTTCAGTGCCTTCTCTCACTTCACACCTTTTTGGAAAAACTTTCAGAGAATGATTTTGTTATTTATCCCTCACATTTCGAGTTATTCACTTGTAGCTAATCTGTCTCTATAACAGACTCCCACAAACACTTCTTCGGGAATTGACGATAAACTCTTACCACCTGATTCTAAAGTGTGTGGATCCCTGTCGGGACTGCGCATCTCACAACCCTGCTTGCTGGAGCGATATGCTGATTCCGGTAAGGTACCATTTTAATAATTCCAATTGTTTTCAAGCTTTGCAGTCAGTCAGTGAAAATAAGGTAGCAGTTTTATTACTGGCTGGTGGTCAAGGAACAAGGCTAGGTGTTTCTTATCCTAAAGGATTATATAAACCGAATCTTCCCTCAGGTCGTTCATTATATCAACTTCAGGCTGAGCGCCTACACCGGGTCTCTAATTTATGTCAAGAAAGGTTTGGCAAAACTCCCTCCATAACCTGGTAGGTTAGTAATTTAAACTGCATTTGATCATGTTTCATGCTTTCTATACAGATCGGTTGAAATTTGGGTGTTGCGGTAGGCTTAATTTTGTGAGAGTTTTGTAGAACTAGCAGTATTTGATTAGCTAAGCAACGTAATCTTAATTAGCTTACTTTGTGCACTTGGGAGTTTGATCATATCAGATATTAAGAGCTGACTAATGAAAAGAAACAGCTTTGACAAGCGTGCTCATTTTATTGAAAGTTTCTTTCGTTTGATAACTTTAACAGGCTTTAACTATGTGATTCCTGTAAGACATTAAATGCTTATGCTAAAAGTGCGGTGGTTTGTTGCTTCAAACTCAGGAGGTAACATAGCAACTTTACTAGTTACGCTGCGATATCCAAGAATCAAGTTCTCTGTGATACAATATATATGCCTGTTTTGTGGTTGCTGACGGAATCTCTGTTTTTCAAGATTTTCCAGGATACACATCTTTTGCACAGCTAAAAACACTATTCAAATAGGAATGTTAATTCTGTAACCAGTATTTTATAGTATGATACTTCCCCCAAAGTTTGGATTACTTTAATGATAACATACGTCAGCTAGTATTCATTTGAAATTATAACAGTTACATATCGGGATGGTAGAAAATCTGGGATTTATAAACGGTTTCAACAGTCCTTGTTTGACTATCATCAATCAAATATATTTATGAGTAGACATTTCAAAGTGCTGTAACCTGATAAAAATCCATTTGAATCTGCTTTTAGATAGGTAATAGCTGACAGTATCCAACCCAAAGATTGTGTACACTGTGTAATGGTCGTTTGACGCTTTCGGAGTATAAAGTTCAATGGAAATGCCTAATTTCACAGATTTAAAGTGGTTGCTTAATTTCTGGTTGAAAGTAATAACTAGCTTCCGAAAACGAAAATGAAGATTTTTGTATATTCTACTATTGTAGAAAGTATAAGTAACTAAGTTTCGTAAATATTATATCTTTGATCATTTTTATGTTATATCAGTTGTTGGAATGAAGTAAATCTATTCTCAGAAAATCATATTTCATATGACTATATATATTGATGAAAAATTAAGCTGCTTGTCTAATTACATGATGAGAAAATGCTACATCTGTCACTTTCTCAAATCCTGATAAACTGAAGCTGTTATACTGCTGTGAAGTGTGTAGATCATCTAATTAGAGTAAGTATGAGTCAATTTGTCTGTAGCGTGATCAAAAAAGCTTTATTTAGTTACATAAACTGTGATGTTTTTCACGGATGATTTGTGGCTGACTAGAAATAAATTAATCCACACCTAACTGTGACTTTTGTCAACTTTTGAAATTTCTAATTAGATCTATGAAATTATCATGTAGTCATTGAGTGATTGTAGTCTTATTTTCATTTATACTCAGGTATATTATGACTTCGGAGCACACGAAAGAAACAACTATTCAGTTCTTTGAATCACACAGTTATTTTGGACACCATCGTGACCACATAATTTTTTTCGAACAGTTTACTCTCCCAGCCTTCTCAGTAGATGGAAAAATTTTATTAGAAACAAAGTCTAAATTGACTTCTTCTCCAGGTAAGTGATTTCATAATTCCATGACTTCATTGTTTCCATTGCTGTTATGAGAGATTGATACTGCAATAGTATGTTTCACATCTAACTATGAAATCTTGGTTAAGTTGTTCAGAGTATTGATCTGTAGCGACCAGCTATTGGTGGGTTTCCGTCTAACCTGTAGGTACGCTGTTGCAGTGGTGCGCGTACAAGAGTATGAGTTTAAGATGTTGTTTGCAGATTTCCAACCAGTCGTTACACGACATATATCGTTGGTAATTTAATGTGAGAATTTTTAATACAGAATCAGTTTAGATTTACTACTTCAAAAAGAGCAAACTCTTTTACTATGGCAATTGCATTTAGTTTTCTAGCTCAAACCTTTTTGGATTATTTCATTCTTTCACAGTCGCTTGTCTTTTTGAACGTAGAAATAGTTTATTGAACTGATTAATTATTATTTCCTATCTTGCCTGTAATATATTCTTGTTAAATTGGATTTTCACTTTGTAATATCATGTACATAGAGTGCCTATTTGAGGAGTCCTACCGAAATTTCATGAGTTCATCAATTTTCTGAATGGTATCTGTTGTGTGCTTGGAATTCATCACGGAAAAAAATGTTTTTATTGAGTTGTAACTACTCCTTGTGTCGTGTGTAGTATCCCGACCAATAGCTGTCACCTTGGCGTGGTGGTTGGGCTTGCATATCGCAGTGACCCAACGAATAATGCTGGTTGGGCGCTTGTCATCTTGAGGTCCTACCATGTCAGAAATGTCTGTTGGATAGTGGTAAGACGAATAGCAGTTGCCGTTGTGGTGTAAATTACTACACTATGATGGGGGGGGGGGGTCTGGGGGCAAAGTCATACTGGTGCTAGCTGGATGGGATGTGACAGCAGTAACGTGTTTCTATTGGATGACCAGCGGTGTCATGCTGATGCTTCCTTCACAGCGGGAAAGGAGATTATAAAGGTTCGGCCCCAAAAGTAGCACACCCCTTCTGTCCGATGGTCTCACAGTGTTGGGGGTTTGGGTTCTGTCTATCCGGTGTTAGAACCACTAAACCTCAGAAAACATCCCGCAAACTGCCGTGTATGACATGCTTCAAGCAGATGTCTCATGGGCCACGCGGTCACTCAAATTCTCTTCTCTTTTATTTACCTCAATAAGAAATAGCCTTCTACCGTGTGGGCAGCCGGGAAGTATCAGCTGCCGACAGCTTCCACTAGTACATTAGACCCAGTCAAACATAACCTATTTTCTTCAACTGTCTCCTTCTTTGCCTTCACCCCCAGATACTAACATTAAACATCTTACACCTTACCCAACTTCTCACTCGTCGACCATTGCCAACGATCAAAGTAATCAAAACCTCATTCTTTGTCTCCTAAGGCCCCACCATCGATTTCATGTAGGATCTTTCAACGCTCGAACTCTATGCCATATGAGACAGCAAGAATCGCTCGTCAAAACACTGGAACCTCTGGCCACAGATTTATGCTGTCTCTGAGATATGTATACAGGATTCTAGCGTGGTTGTTAAATTGATCTCACCTGGCCATAGTTGTGAATCTTCAAAATTCACCTTAAGGGTATCCGGAAACCCAGTAACTAGCTCTCGTGGACTCGCTGGTGTAGGCGTATCATTAAATTGTCGAGCAGAAAGTGTGCTTCTCGACTGGATACCAGTCAATAACCGTCTATATACTGTTCCACTGAACAGATTTGTAAGAACTAGGAAGGATCGTGAGACTGGGCGATGCCTATTCGTAATCACCTACGCATCCACCGACTGCAGTTCGGATGATGCAAAGGATGAATTCTATGAAAGGCTGTCAATTTTGCTACAAAAAGCAAAACCTTCAGATATAGTTAAAATGGCAGGTGACTTTAACGTTCAAGCAGGGGAGCTGAGCCAATCGGAGACGCATCTTGGGAGTATTTACGGCGCTGTAAATCGTTTTATCATGCTATACGGCTATGAGGCATGGTCGTTAAAAGTAGAAGATAAAGTGGCACAAGGTTTTGATCACAGACGTCTTCGTAGCGTTTGGTGGTATAACCATGTGAGCAATGTTGTGATCAGACGAAGGGTACTAGGTAAGACAGGCAAGTCGATTGATGATGCTGCAAATCTTCATTAGCTGAAATGGCATGAACATGTACTGCTCATGTCGAGCCACCGTCTACCTCAACGTACTATGCTAAGGGAAGTTGGGTTAGATTGAAAGAGGGCTCAGGGTCTCCAGTCCAAGACATGGTACGTCAATAAAGTCCCAAACCCTTTTTCTGAGATGCAGACTGCCTAGTTGGGGTCCTCAAGACGAAAGGAATCAGTGATTGAAGACTTTTGGTGACCTGGATGAAAATCGGTCACAGTGGCGCAGATGTATAGCTTTAATATTCGCACTAACTGTTAGCTTCTGATTGTTTATTCTCGTACACTACTTTATTTACTTTGATATCACTCTTATTTTATCCACCTGTTCTTTGTGCACTACTGTGAAGTGTGACGACTTGAACCAATGCATCTATGTGCGAGGTTCTACGTTGATTTTGTCAGTCAGTCAGTTGTGTGTTGTGGTATTATTAATCGGTGCAGTTGTTTTCTGAATAAGTGCCTTTCTTTAGTAGAGAAAATATTGAAGTTAATGCTGATGATGTTTAAAAAGACAGTGAAAGCTTAAGGATTAGACCACTCATCTCAGACAACATGACACAACTAAGATCATCCACCTGAACTTCAATTATTCTCCACCATTTCAATATCATATGAGTAGAGAAAATAACTTGTCATTTTCACTAGGTTGACTGAGTTGTACTTTAAACCGCTCCATAAGACTGTTTAGTTGTAGTTCCTCAAACTGAAGTTATTTATTTGTTAGTTAGTGATTCTCTCTTTTTCAAGATACTCGATTATTTTCATTTTGATAAAAGGTAGTGTCATGAGATTAAGAAAGTCTTCACCTAATAATTATTTGTTAACAACTTTTCAACATTACTGAACGATAGAGTTTGTTCAATACTGAAACTCAAGTGATGAAATTAATTACTCCAATAGACAAGTACCTACTTACAGGAGATTTGTTGGATAGTATGTCTTATATTGTTGTCAAAATGACTTCTAGCTTTATTAACACCTCTATATTTCCTTTTGTGTAAAGTAATTCGGAAACCGAATCGAAAATCGAAATCCACCCAGTTACTTAGTGCACATTCATGTGATAAGCAATGAAACACGCCTAGTTTATGAAGGCTAGTGATACTACCTGACTGCCCAAACCTCGGTAGATGGAGCGGGATTCGAACCCGTGGCCCAACGGTTAAAATCAACTCCTTAAGCCAATAAGCCACAAATCTAATCTGGACATCAGTAGGAAGAAAATAGATTCACCATCAAAATCAAATGACATTGATTTGTTTCACCAATACTGTGGCTAATTTTTATTGAATGACAATTTTTGTACTGCATCATAACAGATATTGTCCGATACTTATTGTTCATATTTACCTATGAATTATTCAAGAAGTTTTTTTTGTAACCACTCTGAATTGTAGCAAAAATAAGTTATATATATGTAGGTAACGTTGTACTTAGTGTGTATTCATGTTTATTTTTATGCATAATCCGAGCTGCAGTTTTACTTTTTGGTTTGAACTTTCTGTCACATACCAACATTTGCCCAGAGATATTGGTCATAGTTATATTCATATTCATATCTCACTGATATTCAAATTATATCTTCCCCTACATGAATTGTTTTTGTTTTCTATGAAGGAGTATAGAGCTAATTAATCCTAAGATAAGCTGCTCAAAATCACTGGGTTGAAAAAGTTTAAACTTTAGTCTAGGCAGTCGACTTGGTTGTAGCTAATACTGGAGTCCAGGACACGTGTCTCGTCAGCTGGGTATGCCTGCACCCCAGTGAGTGATGTTGTTGCCACTGAGACTTAAACCTCGTACCCATCACTTCAAACGCCAAAGCGTTATCCAACATGCCAGTAACACATCAGAGCCATCATTTATATAACAGGCATTAGTTATTATCATTTCTTGTTACTTGTTGTTGTTATACTGGACCAACTTGCTTGATTTATATTGGCAGATGGGCTGTTATGCGGATGCCTTAATATTGCTAGTCACAACCATGTCAGTTATCACAATAAATATTCAGGCAGTATCGAGGCATTTGCACAGGAACCAGCAGAGGTCGATCAATTTAGTGCGGTATAAAAGCGGAGAAATATAAGTATCAGCAAATAATAAAAAAAGGTCCATGTTAGCTGACTGAAGTCAGTATACAGGTTTCATGTCCTTAGGCACCAGTCAGCAGGTCATATCCTTAACATAATTTGTGTTTACTAGTTATTTGTTTTACAGGACAGTTTTGACTAGAACGTTGAAGTGCAAATCATGCTCAGTAAACGACCAAATTGCCATTTAGCATCACTTGAGGAATACAAACTGTGTAACTTTCCAAACTAGAGCTACCAAAAATTACCACTGTTTATCTGACAGTTAACAGCGTTCTGGCAAGTTTATTTCGGATACAGTTATTTAAGCTTTCCAACTGCTCACAATTCACCATTTTCTTTTTCTGTTGATAAGCATTTTCTGAAAACAGACTCACCTGGTGGAATCTAACATAACAAACCGTAAAGTACGTAAGAAAAAAGCCATAGTTGTCAACAAACTGGGGACCATTTAAAGCTTTCAATGTGTTTCTAATACTATGCAATTCATGTCAATGAAATTCTGTACTTTTAATTCTAAGTTGTGGGTTGCCTATTTTCAGTAACAATGAGACTTTCTTAACCGATTTTTATTTAGATGGAAACGGTGGCTTGTATAGAGCTCTCATGAAGCGAGGTATTTTGAGCGATATGAAATCAAGGGGAATTGAATATGTCCAAATTTATTGTGTTGATAATATTTTGGTGAAATTACCAGATCTTCATTTCATTGGCTTTTGTATTGAGAACAATGCGGACTGCGCCGCTCAAGTAGTTCAAAAATTTGACCCAGAAGAATCTATTGGAGTTGTTGGTGTAGTGGACGGTCATTATCAGGTAGGTTAGCATATTTAAATGAAGAATGCTTCTCGAGTTTTACCTCTCTTCTACTTGAATTGTTTGTCTATAGGAAAGTACTTTGTAAGTTAGACTATCGTTAGGATGTGTAGTGGCTAGCAGTGGAATCTAGGATGCGCATTTCCTCCTATTTGGGACTCGTCAGCTGGATGTACCTGCGTCCCAGTGAGTTATGCTGTTCCCACTGGGATTCGGATTCGGGAGCGATCGCTTCAAACGCCAGCGCGTTATCCACTACACCACCGAGCCACGATAGCCACTTCTTGTGCGACGGGTATAGTTGTAGTGTTATTGTTTGCATTATCCCATCGTTCATTGAACCGAATTGATCTGTTTCTGTTGGCATATGGGCTGCTGTGCGGATGCCTCGATATACCTGTGTAGTTTTAGTTCTAGTAAAGATGGATAGTGGCTAGCAGTGGAATCCATGATGCGCATTTCGTCCTATTTGAGACTATCGTTAATAAAAGTGCGAACCTTAGGCATTGTGGTGGAATGTAATTCCATATTGGATTTGTTTATTTGATATATCCAGCACACAGTGATACAGTATTAGTTACTTGATGGCACTTTAAGCATAAATTATCATTGATCATAATCATATCAATGTAATCACACTACTTTGACATCTGATTTTTGTGGTCCTGTCACCTGATATTCTTTGTTTCTATTGGTAGTAAAGTTTTCCATATCTCTGGTGTAGGTGTTGCGTCATTCCTGTTATATATGTTGAATGAGTGTTGATTCGATGAACAAAGATTCACTAATCAATCTCCTAATTATATTGGATTTAAGCGTAGTAGTTTCATCCCATCCTATTGTATGGTTGTGTTAATGCATACATTACAATAGCCTAGTTGGTTTCTAAAATATTGATTTTATTAGGGTCTGTCATTCCTTATTTAGCTAAATCCCAATGTTTCACTAATCTAACTGATCCTATCAGATCCTTAAGCCAGCAAAGCTTATGTGTGAGTGAGTTTGTAGGTTTAAATGTCACCCAAATTTCAGCCTTATTGAGGATCCTACGTAAAGTTCCTGATGTTCCTTCTTTATATGATAGCATAATAGAGGCTTTGAATTTATTTCTACTCGTGTTGTCGCCATTATTTGTATTCGTATTACTGTTATTATTTTGTTTCGTATGTTTTCCTACGAATTTCTCAATAAACCGTAAAGGGTAGTTATCAGTTAAATAACGCTTTTCTTATGCGTTTCACTTCCTTGTTTAGGTCCTTACAACAACTGGTGAGCTTTTTTGGTCAATCATTTAGACATTTGACTAAACTGACATTGGATGAGATGACCTGAAGTCTAAATGCCTGTTAAAATGTATCGGTTTCCTGTAGACGGTAGTATCCAAACCACCATCTATCCTTCGTTTTAGTCTGGAATCCAGCATAGGTAATTCTCCTTGATCATTTTCTACCTCGTAAGTTAGTTGAATTGCATCCACTACTGAGTTTATATGGGCGAGGAAACTGTCGATATATTCCGATTTGAACACAGTAAATGTGTCATCCATATATCGCCACCATATTTTAGGTGCAGGAGTATACATTCGTATGGCCGTGTCTTCCCAGCTATCCATAAATATATCTGCTACGTTTGGGGATATTAGTGATCCCATTGAACTCCTTCTGTTTGTCTGTATATTTTTTCCTGAAACTTGAAGACTGTGGAGGTCAAAGACAACTGTACGCCTAATATGATTTTACCGACCGATGTCTTAGTTCTGTGAGTAAGTTCTGAGTTAGTATTTAATTGATTTCTGACTGCCTCCAGTACCATATTGATCGGTATTTTAGTATAAAGACTTGTTACGTGGGAACTAACCATTTTTCCATCCTCTTCTATTTGTAGATCAATTAGCCTTTGTTTTGACACGTAAGAATTGATTAGTCTAAAATTTTACCGGCTTCTAATAGGACATATTATTGATGCTATGTACTTTGAAAGTTCATATGTAGGGGCATTTCGGAAGTCAACTGTAAGGTCTAATAGGATAACCTGGTTTATGAACCTTAATAGTAAATAATACTGTATCATTGTGCGCTGTATATAAAATAAACAAATATACTATAGGATAGATTATGTTTGTCTGACATTCGTTTTTCCCCATCTTACTGCATTTTGTCTTTTAGATTGAAGGGTTTACAGCTTATATCTTTGTTTTCAAAATCTTGCAAAATGCTTCCGGCATTGAAGTCATCTGACAAAATCGTAATGACATTATTTATGTGAAAAAGATAATTTACTCCACAGAAGTTTATTTTCCGATTTCTCTTGAGAATGACAGGTGAAAGAGATCATAAAAACTGCCAGGGCTTCTGGAAAAGTTCTGTTCAGGGTTCATTCTAATTTGTTCTATAGGAATCCTTAGACATGAATTTTGTCCTTCTTAGTACTCATTAGCAAGGTGCACTACTCAGCGGACAAGTCAGAGACTTAGCGAATGAGGTACTCATGCTATGAGTGACCTGTAAAACTGAAATACGTCCACGAATTGACTGCCAGATGATGGCTGATGTAGTTTTCGCTTCCTAAATGTTAACAGAAGTCTATTGAATAAGTTTTTACTTTGGTCATTAACGTATGTGACGTGACATATTCGTGCAGTCTGTATGATACTAGATATATGGAGTCAGTTTGTAGAAAGCCCTTGACCTATGTTTTAAATGTCTTTTTTGAGAAATCGAGATGTTCAACAATTTTCTACTGAAAACCGTTGGTGTAGGATGAACGAGTGGCAAGAAATCTTTCATATAGAAAAAAGACTGGTTGAGCCAAGAAATATATACCTTTTCAGTTAGGTCTTCGTCTTAGGCTCTACACTAATATGTATGTTTACAATTCAATCAAAATACCAATCACGTGGTGGGGTGTTGGTGAACATTGATTATAGATTTTGAGTAAGCCTTGAAGACGAACTATAAAGAACATCATTCTCATCAATCTCACTTTTGGGAACTATACAGATATCATCCATGTAACGACAACATGAATTGAACCGGCTATTAGTTTCGTTAAAGGGACGATTCTCTAGTTTTGCCAGAAAAAAATCTGCTAGCAGCGGACCAAGGGGTGACCCCATAGCGACGCCATCAGACTGCCTGTAGAGTCTATTGTTGAATTGTGCGTTTATCGTACACTTCAGAAGTACTTCTTTCAATGTGGAGACTGGAATACCTATTACCATGCCGTGCTTGGTAAGTTCATCGCAAATAAAGTGTGCTGTCTCAATTAAATGTACGTTAGCAGAAAGAGATGAAACACCGCACGACATCATTAACTTATTATCTACTTTCAAATCCTCAATATTTTCAACAAATTCAAAGGTATTTCTGAGACTGTACTTTACAATTTCTTTGTGGAGAGGGTTCAAGGGTTGTACTAACCATTTCGTGGCTGTATGATACGGAGAGTTTGCCATGTCGAGAACTGGTGGAAGAGGTAATCCGTTTTTATGCAGTTTTGGCAGACTGTAAAGTCTAGGCGCAACAGTTCCAGTAGATTTGAGCATTTCAAAAGTGCTTTCTGAAATGAAACCCTCCTATTTTATCTTTTTCAGTGATTTCTCTGGAATTTACTCTCATCACTAAGTAAAGCATTCATTTTGTCTATGTGGTCTTTTTTATCCATCAAAACTATTCACGATCCTTTATCTAGCTTAGTAATGACAATATTTGCATTTGTTTTAATCTTTTGCAAAGCTTTTTTCATTAGAATACTGTTTGTATCGTTCCTACTACTTGTGTACTTAAGACAGGAGTCAACGAGTGTAGTCTTGAGTCTATCAACGTCTTCACTAGATGACCGCATCAAACTTTCCATCTGTGTATACAAGTTGTCAAACTACACTTACGTTTCTGTCTTACTAATCATATCACGATTATCACAAAAATTTTGACTAAATAACAAAAGTTCTAACTGTACAGCATCAAAATCAATGCTAGAAAAGGAATATATTTTTTCAGTCAATCAGTCTAAATGGGTATATTTAATGTACTGAAATCTTTTTTTACATGGAAACTGGGTAAAACTATCATTAAATAAAGTTGAGATATAGTAGTAGTAGTAGTTTTGTTTCAAGATTGATTATGATCCAGATACTCTTATTTTGACTCCGGTTTTCCTTTGAGTTCACTTATCATTTTCGTTGTTTATGTGAACTTAGGTTGTTAGTGGTCTGGCTGTATATCGTGATAATTTTATTCTTAGTAGAAGTATTCTATGCTCATACTTTGCCTTTCTTCTACTCTTTATTTGAATATTAGGTTGTGGAATATAGTGAAATATCTCCAAGTACAGCGTCTCTACGTGTAAATCAGTATGACCATCATGATGATCTGAACAATTCGAAAATAGTCCATAATAATGGAGACTTATCATATACAAATAACTTAAATCGTTTAGTCTATAGTCATGGTAATATTTGTGTACATTTTACAACAAGATTATTTTTGGAAAGTGTTTGTCAAGATGATATACAAATGAAAATGAAATATCATCGAGCTCAGAAGAAAGTTATTCATATAGATATAGAAACAGGAGAACAAATAATACCTCAAAAACCTAATGCAATAAAGTTTGAAAAATTTGTCTTTGATGTTTTTCCATTTGCCAAGTGAGTCAAGGTATAATTTTTGTGTATCTATCCATTTAGACAGTTGCAGCTCATTCCCCTTTATGAAGATCAGTCAGCCTATGTGATCATGATATATTCCTTGTTTTGAAAAATGTGTATCACTGTATAAACTCTTATATCTAGTGTTGATCTTTGTTGTCACTCAACTAGGTGAACATTCACTGCAAATGAATGACTATCAGTTCCTTTTCGAAAATACTCGCCTGTGACAAAAAGTAGTTAGCAAACTAGGATAGATATACAAACTAAGCAACGTAGAACCTGCTATAGAAGGTCATTGGTTCAAGTTGCCATATTTCACAATAGAATGAAAAGAAGTTGATGAAAAAATTGGTATCTGAAAGTAAATAAAAGTGTATGGATGAATAGAGGTACGATAAATAGAAGTCAGTGAAAATGCTCAAACTGTCAAAGACTTCAAGGAGTGATTACTTCTGCACCACTTTGGTCGATTTCCATATTACCAAGAATCTCCAACTATTGATTCTTCCAATCCAACCTGACTTTGAGTAGCATTAGACGTCGAAGTGGACGGTGGATAGGCATGCTCAACATATGTAAGTCAGGCTAATCGGCAAAAGTTCACAGCCTCATTGACTGACTGACTGACTGACTTACCTTTCTTCTTAGCAAGCTCGAAGGTAGGTCTAAAGCAACGAAGGTAAACTAACTGATTTCTGGAAGCTCTATGCAAGTCTGACATGCCGCTTATTTTGCCATGGAATGTTAAGTGAAATTGGGTTTGGCTAGATGAATTGTCAAGTGATTGATGAGATCCAACAAATATCCATAAAGTTTGTATGCTACCTGGTTGGAGTCTGAAAATTATCATATACCAGCGATTATACACTTCAACCGGTAGTTTGAAATCTATTTACCTGTTAAAGTTACACTGAATTTTTATCGTGCTCTAAAAATCCTGTATACTAATTTAACTTATTTTCCTATTTACTATAGAAGATGTAATGATAGTTTTTATTCTGTTTACCAATTATGTCTGGTTGTGGCGTTAAACTATATCACACAATCAAGCTTAATGATGTTTTGGCAGTTCCAATATGACTTCAGCGACTTATTAAGTAATTTATAACACTCAAACGCTTGTTGTTGACGTTATTCTTAAAAACTGTGTTTAGTGTGTGTGTGTGTGTGTTTCAAAAACTCGAAGATTGGTGTATGATTTTACAGACAGAAAATCTTATGGCTTCAAATGTTTTTATTCCATTTTACCACTTTCTTCTCCCCTATACTTATCTCAGAAATTAAGAGTTGCTCTATGTCACATCATGTTAAGGAGGTTTGTAAGTTTATATTTCTTATTCATGATACTTATTTATTTTTTAGCTTTGCAAATCATTTTCACATGTTTTAACTCTTTTAAAGACGGTTTTTCATTTGGGAGGTTCCAAGAGATGAGCAATTTTCTCCAATCAAAAATGGACCAGGAGCAATAAAAGATTGTCCTAAAACATCTCGTAATGATTTATTGAATTATCATACACGTTTGGCAAAAAATGCTGGTGCAATAATAATAGATGATCACTCTACATCGAATGGAAATGGATATCAGAATAGTGTATATGAAAAAGCCTTGGTTGAAATTTCACCGTTGATTACTTATGATGGTGAAGTAAGTCTGTGTTTATTAAATTTATTGAGTTTTGTATGTTAAAATTATTCTCAGTAATTACATTTCATTTGATTTTAAGGAGATTGTTTACTTGAGTAATCAGTCTATCAGATATACCTAGACAATGAAGGTACTGTAGAATGTATCCAGTAAAATTTTAGCTACTTCTACTTATTTTGGAACCATTCGTAGGTATTGTAGGCAGAGAGTAACCGGAAAACAATGTTATAGAGACACAGTTTAATCATCTTCCAGTTGTTTTGTCAAGAATTTTCCCATTTCGTAATTTTGCTGTCTACATCTCATTTTATTTGTAACGTAATAGGTTAAAAAACAAATTTGAGAATGAGTACGACTCAAATATGTACCTTTGATGTGGATTTTATGTTGACGGAGTATTTGTTCAACTTGCTGTACATTCACTGAGAACTTTGGTTATCGTACCACAGTGGCTGTGGCGTTCTGTTCGGTTTATTCACATTGTGTGTTATGTTACTTGGTGCTTATAAGAATGTTTACGTATATTTTGTGGTAAAAACTGTATTGTCGAATTTTAGGAAGAGTTAATTAGGTTTGAGATACAATATAACTGAATTTGAGTATTGTGTTGGTACAACAATGTGCTTCAATATTTACTTAGTTCACATTATCAATTTCCATCATTGCTAACCCAAATTTAACTGCCTAATTGCCTATGGTTCATAGTCCATTCACTTTTCTAACCGAGACATTATTAGATTTATCCCAGTCAGTGCAAACGACGTGTTCTACACATTGATCTTTCACTTTAATTAACTTGTGACTATAGTGTTATTGGATGGTTTAGTGGATAACGCTTTGGTGTTTAAATCGATCGGTCCTGAGCTCGAGTCTTGTTGGGAAACAGCATCGCTCACTGGGATGTAGGTACATCCAGCTGACGAGTCTTAAATGGGACGAGATGCGCGTCTTGGGTTCCACCACTATCCGCTAGCCATCAATTATATATAAAACTTGCGTTTTTATTTGTTCAGCATAATGTTGTTTACATAAATTGATTGAAATTCATCAAGTTGACGATTATAAATGTTATTCTTTGTGTCTTTTTGGTGTAACCAATGACTTCAATGACTCGGACTCACTGTGAAAGTGTGCACCAAATAATATGGATAGTGTTTTATTATACTATGTATCCCATAGAATAAGCGAATTTTGGTGACACCTTAGATTGTAAGTTCTATTTGTATTATTTCAGATATCGAATGCTGAGCCAATCATCATCATCATCATCATTATCAACATAGGACCAGGCATTACTGCGTAACGGTCCGAGTTGCCACACCTCATATCAGCACATCAAGTAAAAAGGTAGTGAGGTGAAGGATGAAGATAAGTGAATGCAGTCAAAAGAAATATAAAGTATGAGAAGAAAGGAAAGAGGAGTGACAAAATAGTGAGATTCGGTATAGCGTTGTTAAGATGAGGATAATGTGTGTATACATCTGCGCCACTGACTTCGGTTCTGAGCCATATCACCTAGGGTCTCCAACCACTGGTTCCTCTTGTCCCGTGGACCCCAACCACCTAGTCTGCATCGTCCTACATGGCTTAAACCAACAGTCAGAGACTTCATACATTGGTATGCTGAGCCAAAGTAACCGGTCACTCTGAATCTTTAGTCAAGCAATAACTGACTGTTCATTAAATACTTCACGTAAATAGCTACTTCTGAGGAATATGTTGGAATTATCAGAATAAATAATATTTTTATATAATTTACCAATAAAGTTATAGAAAAAGACGTAGAAATTCACTGGTAGATATGCTATAAAACTTCTGAATAGCATGGTCACCCAATTAATGTGTACTTTGTAGTTTTACCAATTCTGTTATCTTCTTAAAAAAACAACAACTTTAGCTGCTGTTTTCCTGTGATTTCAATAAACAGTAAAGAACAAAAATAAGTGTATACTGTTTCATAAATGTGTGAATATCAGGTATTATGCATCAGATTGGTTTATCCGAATTCATTTAATAATCGGATCATATCTTCTACTGAGTTATGAACTAGCTCCTTAGAATAATGGAAAATATTTGTAGTTCAAGTGGATTGTCTTGTTAGTTTTCCTCTCCCTAATCTGCTGCTCACTGTCTTTCTGTCTTTTGTTAATTTTTCCTTTGATTGTTGTGTCACCCTGACCTGTGATCTTGTTGTTATGATCCGCGGTATGTGTAACGATACAATGTTCTGATGCGATACGATTAACAATGGAACAATGACTTCTCAACTCGATATTCAGCTGACACCATAAGATGATGGGATTGGAAGTATATTATTTCAACCGAATAATGATAACTTAAAACTCAGTCGTTTATATATCCTTAGATGGCTTTGACCAGAAAAAACAAAGTTGCATATTAAAAGTGTAAAATCGACCAATCAGCGTTTAGTAACCTAAACCAGAGTAAAAATAATTGACAGCATGTCACAAAAACGGCGCAAAAATCAGGTTTCGATCTTATAATAATAATACAAACATAAGTCAGTTTTCTTAGGGATTAGGCATCGCTAACACTTGTGGTTATTATTTTCCTTATTGTTAGATAGAGGATCTATCTGTTGAGGTATTGAACGTTGAGTGACCTAAATGCCAAGCTGTTAAGATTTTTCCGATATTCTTTGTCTTCTCTGTTCAAGATCTTTAGTTTTTCAAAATTAACTTTATATCAATATGCAGCGATTTTGAAGGGATGAAATGTCGTGATACTTAATTATCAATTGATATTCACGTAGATGATGATGGATAAGGTTACCACTTTGTCCAGTATAGTGTTTATCGCAGATGTTTCTGCTGATTTTGTAGTTGATGATTGGCTTATCTTTTGGTTTATATAATATGGTCTGGAGTGGATTTGTTGGTTTATGAGCTGTACCAGTTGTTAACATCTTCAATAGTCTTGTTATGATGTATGGCAAGTTCTTTATGTTCGGTTGGATGATCCGTTTGTTGATCTGCGTTGATGACTTCGTAGTAGATGAGGAATCAGATGGATGTCTTGTGATAAGGTTCCACAGGCAACTGCTTTTTTTCGAAGTTATTCATCAAGCAGTTTTCTTTATTTCTTCACCAGGTGGTTTTGGTGTAGTGTTTTTAAGAATTAAGTCTGTTATTGGGAGCATTTTATAATCTAATCAATAAGAGCTTTGTAAAGAATGTGGTTACATTTGTATACGCTTTGGAATGCTATGATGCGCTTACTTACTCCTGGAGAATCAGAGGATTATATTGCTTTTATCGATATATACGCCCTTGCAGCTGTAGTTAACAGTTTCAATGCAGCATAAAATTTTATAAACATCGATTGTTAGAATAAACTTCCTAATGAACTCATCGAAGTGAACGAGAAATCAAATTATGGTACACGTAACGTGTTAACATAGTTTATGTAGATTGATACCTGGGTATTGTGTCATTCATTATGACCTTAGTGGATGATAAAAGTCTATTCATTGGAGCTTCACTTATCGTTTGTTTGTCACAGCTACTTCACATAACGACATATGAACGCAGTTGACAGATTGATTTCCTGCTTCAATTCAGTTTTTAATTGAGGTAGGTGCGTTTTCGCAATCAGTACAAATAGCATATCTACTTTTCTATAAGGCTTAAACTTTACAATGATATTAAAAGTATAAGTTAGTTATCTTAGGGGTTGGCCATCCCTAACAGAATATTAATGGGATATGTCGTTAAATTATATCTCACAAGAGTGTTACTCCTGTAAACTTCCTATTGTTTTATTTTAGATGTTCTATAGAGAATTTCACTAACTTTTTTTCGTAAACCATACTTGTTTATTCCAGAATTTATCCTGTCTGAAAGACATTGAAATTCGTGGTCTTAATCGATTGGAATTGGATGAAAAAACAGGAAAACCAATTCTACTTTCCTCTGTAGTAGATAATCATTAGACAATATATAGTCGAACCGTGTGTGAAGCATCTTGTCGAAAAACGTGGGAGTGGTTTATTAACTTTTTTCTATCCACTGAGATGTACACATATACAAATGAAGGTTTTCCTTCCCGGCGTTTCTTTTGTATGCTTTGCGCTTACTTGTCAACTTTCCAGCTAATTTTGTTGAATACACTTCTTCTGGATTTCAGTATGTGCATGTATCATGAAATCTTTGCTACTGGTTAAAACAATCATTCCATATAACACTGTTTTATGCATCTATACGATTCTTTGTGGCTTTTCATAGGTAACTAATTCGGTGAGTTTTTATACACTGGTTCTTTTGTAATTCAGCTTATAGTATAAAGAACACAATCGATCTGATGTTTATATTTGTTTTGTGCCTTGATTATTTCCTTTATATTTTCTGGTTTTGTGTCACACAGAGCAACTCAATAAGTTGAAGATTTCATTCAACTAAATAGTTTGTAATTTTTTAAATTACTTTTAAGCATGCATATATGTACACATATATTCTTAATAAACATTTTTATAATTGTTTAAAGTTGATAATGATATCTCTCTATACTCGTTTCGTTTGATTGTTCTTTGAAACTGAATTCACCTCATATGCATATATGACATGCTTCTGAGAGATAAATGTTATATTCGCGGCAAAGGGTAGTAGTTATATGTGTTTGCTTCGGCTGTGCATAAGCAAATAAGATTTCAGATAAAAATAATGTAACTGAGCAACTATTTACCAGTAAACTGGCTGGGCAATCACTCATGCATATTCTTTTGAGATTGGTGTTAAGCTAAACCTCAGTGGGTGAAATGGGGTTTGAATCAGCTAGTTAGTCAGCCAATCACTACCAGTACTCAACACGTAACAGTCGAAATTGTCACATCTCATATCAACGCATTAAACCAGAAGGCACTGAGATGAAAGGCAAGTAAATAAGGAAATCAGTAATAGAAAGTCGTGAAAAAAAAGTAAGATGACGAAGCAATAGCGAAATTTGTTATTACAACAAGATGTGGCCTGTACCTGTCCCACTGAGATCGGTTGATTCTGAGGCATATCGCCTGTCGTTTTCAGCCACCGACTTTCATTATCAAATGGACCCCAAATGGTAGGTCTGGGATTTGCTACACAGCTCAGATCAACAGTAGAGAATTCGTGTAATAATGTCTTGTCTGATTTTCTCTTCCTCCAACTGAAACCTACTTCAGCTAACAGTTTTGACGTACAGATGGTGACTAAACATCAGCATTACATATCCTAGTCGCCTGAGTCGATAAAGGTTCACAAACTTATCAACTCGCTCACCCTTTTACCTAATACTCTATACCTGACAGTTGTATTAATGACGTGATGACAACGGTGATAGAACACCTGAATCCTTCTCACGTCCTCTACTTTCAATGGCTATTTCTCACAACTGTTGTAGAACAGGGTGAAGTTCAACTTAGTAAACTGAACTCATAACAGGTAGTGGGATATTTTACGGGTATTGTATTTAGTCAAAGATGAAAGAAGCTGGGTTATACTTTTGGATCTATACGATTTCATCAGTTTCTAACCCCTCTATATGGCTGTCAATGAAGTTCCTGACTGTTGGTCTGAGTCGTGTAGGCAAATGTAAACTGTTTGACTAGGGTCCTTGAGATGAAAAGAATCAGTGGTTGAGGACTCGGTCACCTGGCTGAAAATCAGTCATAGTAGTGCAGATGTATTCACTCTGACTCCTTCTGAAGCTTTGAATATGCGCACTAGCCTTCAGATTTTTCTTGCTCTCTCAGAACTTTACTTACTTTGACATCAGTCTTTTTTTATCCACTTGTTTTTGTATGTTATTGTGAAGCGTGGCAACTTGGGCCGATATACTTGTGTGCTAGGTTCTGCGTTGATTTTGTCAGTCAGTTGACAAAGTCTTGGTCATCGTCCGGGTCTCGTGAGTTGGTAGAACACCGGGCAGGTAACCAAAGACCGCTGCTTCGAATTCTGCCATGAGCTAAATGTTCATTCCACTTCATTTCTTACTGAGTATCAATGAGGAAAACTCGTCTGGTGTACGACTGATTTTTGGAAGCCTGGTGACAGTTTTCTTTCAATATTGATCCAACAAAATGTAGTTTCTTCCTAAATTTCTTGAACGTAATTTAAAGCTTTAAAGGATATTGTTGGATAATTGCCTTATGCATGAGTTATCGTTATTTCATAGCTTTGAATGTCTCCAACCAATTTGAAAGTTAGGAAGACAATGTGATGTTGTTTTGGTGTTCTCTGAGCAGTGATTTTTTTTCATGAAGGTTTTTATCATCTGGCTTAGCGACATACTCAGCGCTGACTTCATTAAGAAGTGAAGCATACTCAAATATTCGACTAGTTTTTAGGTAGTGTATTTGTTGGCTGCTTGTAAATTCAGGAAGAGACTTTTGCCATACTTTGACCTCTGTGACCTCACATTTCATCCGATCACATTGGGAGGGAATCTTTGTTAGAGTGAAATTATGCCATTTACCTTCACATTATGCACCATTAGTGATTGATTTGACCAATTTGCCCTTGGCTGATGGGTGGCTATTTTTCTTCGTAAGTAGATTGTATTGATTGGCTTTTCGTTGGCATACAATACATTTAAAGATTACCTTACAGCTGTTGAACCAGTTGTTTGAAAGACTTCTATATTCACCCAGTCGAATTTGCGATTGCTATTGAAACCAACGAGGCTGTCTCATATGGCTTTCCTGCTTTTTGTTGTTCATGAATTCTTTGAGCAATTGGACTGCTAGACTTGCCAAAATGTTGTGAACAATCTTTGTAATTGGTTACATAGGTTGTACTTGTCCCGTCTACTTTTGGCAATGGACCTTTTGACTGGTGTAACATATTGTGTTATGGTTTGGTTGGTTGACAGTTTGTGAGACATTTTTGATGTTTTGTAGAGTGACGTGCTTACTGATATAATTTTCTCTGTCAACTTTTGAACCTATAACTTATTTATGTAAGGTTAAATCACCTTAGATTTTCACCGCTATCTTTCAAAAGGTTTATTAAACTAGTGATGCATTTCTCCTATTTTGTGAAGCATTAAAATAATCATTTCGACTGTCCTAGATAGCCGTGGTTTAGCAGACTAGTACTGATACTGGGTGATGATTGCAGGTGAAGTGAAAATCCGAACCGCTGCCGGATTCGAACCAGCAACCACCTGGTGTCCAGCCCATGCTCTACCGACTGAGCTACAAGGCCCGACTGCTGGCCAGATCTTTACTTCACTTCAGTCGCCAAGGGTTTTACCCGACTACCATATGAATTCGTGGTACGTGGTTCCAATGTCATCGTGGTCCAAATTTTCATTTCACTTTCAGTCATTACCCAGTGTCGATACTGGTCTGCCAAACCACACCTATCTTAGATAGTCAAAATGATAACGTGATACTTCCTCTTTCTAATTCAGTTAGATTTAAAATGGCCTGAGAAGTCCTGACTGCGCAGCGGCAGCCAGTTTGAGTACGATCAAGCGATGTAGTAACACCTCACGAAACCAAATGGCAGTCGGGCAAAACCCTTGATGATTGAAGTGACATAGAAATCTGGTTAGCAGTCGGACCTCTTGGCTCATTTGGTAGAGTATTATGCAGGAAACCCAGTGGTCGCTGGTTTGAATCCGGCCGCTCTCCAAATTTTCATTTCCATCCTCCCATCCAAATCAACTTAGGACCAGGCATTACTGAGCAACGGTCCGAGTTGCCACAGCTCATATCGGTACATGAAGTAGAAAGACAGTGAAGTGGAAGATGAAGATAAGAAAATTCAGTCAAAAGAAATATAAAGTACTAAAAGAGAGAAAGGAAGAATGTTAAAATGGTGAGATTCGGTATAATGTTAAGATAAGGATAATGTGTGTATACATCTGCGTGACTGACATCGGTTCGAGCCATATCACCTAGAATCTCCAACCACTGGTTCCTCTTGTCCCGCGGACCCCAACTGGCTCAGAGACTTCATACATTGGTGCCATGTTTTAATCTGGCCACCTTGGGCCTTTTTCCAACCTGAACCTACTTCGGCCATCATTGTGCGATTAGGCAATCGGTGACTAGACATACGTAATAGGTGTCCCAACCATCTCAGTCGATGAAGGTTCATAACCTCGTCAACTGACTTACCTTTCTCCCAAAACTCTATACCTGACGTCTGCGTTACTCACGTGGTGACACCAGGAATACGGCCTACACTATGGAAGCAACGGTGGTCAAACACCTGAAGCCTTCTCATATCTTCCACCTCCAATTGCCATGTTTCACAGCCATAGAGTAGAACAGAGCGGACTGCATTATAGTACATGCAACCCTTAATAGACGTACGGATATCACGGTGGCGCTACAGATGGCGTAAGTTGGCAAAAGCCAGCCGAGCTTTTTGTATCCGTGCAGAGATTTCATCGGCCACTGAGCCACCAGGGCTGATCCTAATTTCCAGGTAAGTGAAGTGGTTGACACACTCAACCATTACACTCTATCGTTAGCCGTGACACCGTTGAAGACCAGTCCTGGAGCAACAATATGGATTTGGGTGGTGAGAAACGCATCCCAAACATTCAGAAGACTCTGCATCTTGTCAGCGTCTCCATCTAGCAGGACTGTCATCTGCGTATTCTAGGTCTAAGGAAAATTCTCCTGCGATTAGGTCAACCTCTGTGTTGTCAGGTGACGAGAGGGAGACTGCATAAGAATATCTATGACAAAATTGAATAAAAATGGAGATAGTGGGTATCCTTGATGGACACCACTAGACGAGCATAGCTTCCCGGATATCTCACCATAGGCTCTAACTCGCCAACAAGTGTTCGAGTAGAGAGCCTTCAATAAGGTGATATACTTATTCTTTACGCCTTTCAGTGAGAGACATCGCTATAGGACTTTTCGATCAACGGAGTCGAATGCCGCCTTCACGTCGAGAAATACAGCCAGTGTCGGGCGTCGGTAAGCGTGTTTGTGTTCCAAAACCTGGTGCAGTGTAAAATATTTGGTCGATGCACCCGCGGCCGGGTCTGAAGCCAGCCTGGTTTTCTCGGGCTTGCTGTTCCCTAGCTCCACTCAGGTATCCAAGAATTATAGAATATAGAATCTTAGACATTATGTTCATTTCACCTTCAGTCATCACCCAGTATTAAAATGAACGGCTCTGACTAAATATTTATACAGTCGTAGAAAGTGATGAATTTTATTTCAAGCACAAGGGTAAACTATTCACACATAGTCCAAATACGTCAAAAGAAAAATTTAAACAGTCCTTTGAACAACTGAACTGCTATTTGGAGGAAGTTATCAGCAGCATACTTTAATTAACAAACACATTGTCCTTCATAATTCCTAATATTCACCTTTACATGTTTTTTGTTGGTGATGATGCTTTGTTTACACTTCGATTGTTTAACTGACCTAAACTTGCTAATAGATGATCGCTAGCGCGTGCGCATATTGTATCTAACCTTGAAAACAATTTAATAGAATGCTAATCAATGAAACGATCCTAATCTATGAAAAATGGTTTAGAAATACTATAAGGAATCACATATCTCT